CATTTATCATATTTGTTTTTATGGCCCTCCTTAATATCATTTTGTAAGGTTAAGTTTGCATTTATTTTCCTTTATTTTGATAGAGGATTGATTAAAGCTGCGCAAAATGTTCAGGTGTACTATATTCCTATATCCAATGCCCTTTCATACCATATCATGGTAAATATTACCTTCACCTTTTGAAGGATAATTTTAATATGAGAACCCTTATTGTTCTCCATTTTATAATTAAAATCATGATGACGATTATTATTTCATCTATTGCCACGTCCACGTATGTATTCATACAGCCCCGTAATTATTTAGTCTTCTTTCAGACTTTGATCTATTGCTATCACATTTGCTTCAGGGAATGGAGCAGATCTAGAGGGACATGCTTCATTAAAAGCATATTATTTTGCCTCAGTCATCATTATATCATTAATGTGGTGCATTAGGACTCAAACTCAATGTCTTACCATCATAAAGGCATGTTAAGCCATAATGCGTTGGAACTCAAACCCAATGTCTTATCATCATGATGCACCAGGATTCAAATCCGATGTCTGAATACCTCTTCCGAAATATTGTTACTTCTGGAGCAAATTTGAGGCATGTAACATAGAGAATAATTCTCTAACACGTCTTCATTCATAATAAATTTAGCATTTGAAAATATTACCACTTTTAATGATCATAACAAACAATCATAGCTAACAATACTTTGAACGTATTATCACTTAATTTAGCATTTATAAGCATAAATGCTTAGTCATAATGAATCTTTAGGAATATTAATTATCACTCTAAATGTCATATATTTATTATAATTATGTAACCAATATTTGCTAATGAAACGAACACATATGACACAGACCAATGCCTTTGGAACTTATTTATTTGCATAGATTAATGGAGATTGTAGTCACGTGTAAAGTCTTTTATCATAGACCAATGTATTTGTCAAAACATCTATGTGAACAACGATTTTCTAAATTCTTAAATGCTCTTCATTAAAGATGTACATTCTGGTGACTTTTATTTATTGAGTTAACCTGTCTCTAGAGTTAGAGAATAGCCAAGTTATTGAAGGACTCTACTTTCCGCAGTGCTATAAAAATCGGTAAAACTTATATATAAAACCTATGAGATAAATTAACCCATTTCAGTCATATATTTTTTTTATGAAAGAAAAATGCAAGCACTACCTTAGAAACTCATAACCATTATTGAATATAATTTACTACATGCATATATTAAACTATCATGCAATTCAATTGGAAGTGAATAAGACCGAAGAATCGTGGCATTGTATAATGATTCTATTCCATCGGTATCCCATCTTCTTTAATGTTACTTTATAGTCACGCTTTTAGAGCTAAATATATGATTAAAGATTAATTTATCATGTAGTATGCGTACCTAATTCATCTAATGATAGCATTGTATCCTACCAGCAAAATCAAAGTAAATATAACTTGAGGTCAGCAACGGACCTCATTGTCTGCTTATAATTTTATTATAAATTGAATTTCTTATGCCGAAGCCTCTAGCTTCAAATACGGCCAGACTGAGTCGGAAAGAATATCGACTCAACACCTATAGTTAGAGAATCGTGCTGATAACGTGTTATAAAATAAATATTATAATTATAAACTAAAGCACCAAAAGAGAAGAAGACAAGAATAGATAAGAGATGTAGAGAGGAGAAGGAAACTTTTCGTCTTATTTCAAGTATGCTTCTTATGTATATTCCATAGGAGAATAACATCCTATTTATAGGTTACAAATCTCTTCTCAAGTTACATGTATTAATGAACTCATTCGTTTGGTATTGAATTTGCCAAAGACAGTTACGAAGAGAACATCTACATACATTGAAAGTGACATCCATATTCGTTGGATTTATAACAAGTGTGAACTAATTTAATGCAATGGAACTCATATTACCAAATTACTCACATAATAAGAGAATCCACAAGTTAATATTTGAAATATTATATTCCATTATTTTTGACGAAAATGAGAACCCTCTTCAGGACCTCAACATTATCATTTCTGTTAGTTATACTTATGTGTATTACCTGGAGTTTTATGTTTGCGTTATGCACCCCTAACATGTATTCTCTTTTACGATTTACACCCTAACATATGTTTAAAATTTTATAAGGTGCACTTATCGTGTGGAAAACAGCAGAGAAAGAAAAAAGAAGAACTATCCTGTAATTAGTTAAAGCAAATGGTATTTTCAATTACAAAAGTATGAGACGGCATCTAACTTGTGTCAAGTTGCATCAATCAACACCAAATTTCCAGATTCAAGCAAACATCTTCATTGTCTGGTTCAATAATTAAAATCGTGCGTAGTTGTCTTATTGATTTGATTATTAGTTATGCCAATTTCCTTCACAAACTAATATAGGAGCCTACGATTCTTTGTTTACTGGTCCCAAAAACTAGTGAAACTCAGAAACCTTTTTTCTGTGGGCGTCACAAGATGGGTCGGGTTGGTGAGAAGCAAAATCTGCCTTATGAGTCATAATTCAGTTTAATCCTTCACAAAAGCATAATCATGCTTCTCTTTAATTAAGTACCTTTCAACCTCAAAATCCATTATCATTAACATTTACTAACTACCTTCTTTAAACACTTTATTTCAATTACTTTATCTAATGAATATTATAATTAAACTGCCTTCCTAGTTCATTCACCCACCCCCCTCAACTTTTACTATCGATTTTAGACATATCAGACTAGCAGCTTCCATATAAATAATGTACATGCATATGTTTATATGTTTAGATACAGACTAATGTGTGCACGCAACTTTTTGCGATTCAATTAAATAGTATCAGAAATTTTGCGAAAGATAACAAGCGCCCTCATTATGATTATTTTATTGTTTTCTATTTGAAGAAACGCGCGTATCTTTTCTTAATTAGTCCTGTCTAACTTATCATACACTTATTAAATAGTAATATAGAGAAGTTTAATCATTAAATATTTCTGTGAAGGTAAAACATATTTAAGAAATTTAGGCAACATTTCGAGGAGTTACTAATGGATTAGCAAGATCAAGAGGTTGATAATTAACATTTACGGCTATCTATTTTTTGCGCCTAGACATCCTTTGAGAAATAGCACTACAATTTATTTGTGTGATAGTCCAAGAATTGATTTGTCTGTTTCCCTTACACCAAATTAAATGTGTTTCATCTAGTCTTCTAGTTATGGTCATCTCATACCTTGGGTCAATTTTCAGGTAATAATAATGACAATGGGGATAATGGGGTCTAATTACCATTAGGTGTCCATTTCACATCTCAAGTGGAAACTTAGTGGGATTCAAAGTTTTGTTCATGTTAAAATTTATAGTTGTTGATAAATTCTATGAAAATCTGTTTAAAAGTTTAAACTATCAGAGATGATATAGGTCATGATCTCATATACTTAAAGTATATCTTCAACAAGCCTGCATTTGATTTTTTTTCATGAGTCGAGCTGAGCATCTTTTTTTAGTGGATGTCGATCAATGAGATTAGAACCGAGAATCTCTATATGCTTTTATACCATGATGAATCGTGTAATCATTTCATCTAAATGGTTAAGTTGCTAGAGAGTATTTACTTAAATTATATCTTTAGCCGTTGTGACATTTGCACTTTCACGTATATATTAAACCATATGTTAGAGAACCATGAAGCGTTCAAAATCGAGTATCTTAAGATTATACGCATGAAGTAATTAGATAATATATATCTCTAGCACTATTCCGAACGTATCTATTTTGGAATTCCCGTGTTGATTTAGCATCGAATATGTAACATAACAAATAGGAAGGAAAATGGTTGGGTAGAAGGATAGAAAATAAAAATAGACACTGAAATGACTCAAGCAAGAAGGAAAAAAGTTTTCTATCGAAGGATAGTTTAATGACTCGAGAAAAAGAAATCATTTGGCAGATTACAATTTTCAACCGACTTATATGTGCAACAGAAATGGGTGAAAAACATTTAAGGCTCATTGAGGTCGTTATCCACCATTGCCAAACACATTGTCTTGACGAATAAATTGTTAGGAAAAGATTATAACATGTGAGGCCTAATTTTCTGTTTTGTCCAAGTGTGCAGACAGGATTTGATCTGGTGAATTCCACCGTTAGACAAAGCAAAGAGATTTTGTTCTTCTAGCTTATTTAGTAAAAGCAGTTTTGCTTAATTCATCCTTAATAGGAAGAAAGAGAGTTTCATAAGCAAATAAAGACTATAAACCTCTCGTTTCTTTTTAATTTGTCGCAACCTAGCTATTGTGTGTAGTTGGAATATCACTGATTTTAATTTGTGTAATTTAGTACTCTTATTACCTACATGGAAATAAACTTGAACAGAACACAAACGGTTTGTCTACACAATTTTGAAATGTTGTTTAAACAAATTACATTTTCCCCTCAGGCAGTGGCTTAGCCACATACAATGAATGATGGTTAGTTGAATATCCTTTATCGAAAATTTATATTGTATATATAAAAACTTATACTATGTATATGTAAATCAAAAATTACTTTTTATACATATATATTAAATTTTAAATGTCCTTAGTGAAAATTCTTGGCTTCACCACTTCCATAAAAATACATCACTGTTACTCGCCAAATGGAAATCTTAGAAATAATTTGTTCAAATTTTTTTCAAAAATGCGAAACGACAAATCCTTTTAAAGCCAATCTAATTTGATACGTGATTGGAAGTTGTGCTATCAATTCATGACAATGATCATTATTATATAGAAAAATTTACCATGGACAGACCCAAATGGACATGAATGAATGAATGAACAGTAAAAACACGGTAATTGGAGATAAACGGGACGGTCTAGAAAAGATTAATTTTAGCTAAACGAAATAAATTAACTTAAAAATTGATATGATATAAATTTATTAAAATAACTGAGAAACCAAACCTATGCTACAGTAAGACACTTAGAAAAAAGGTTTTATTGAGTCGCTGTATAAATGTGCCTATTAGGGTTAGGGTTTGCCAAAGAACAAAAGAGAAAGTAGCTATTTAATCTTAATTTCCTTAATCTCCACCACCCATATGCCATTTATTTTCTCGTTGTTCGGCTGAGAACTCTCTACACTGAAGAAGAGAGATGAAAAAAGTTTTGAGGAAATCATCAAATGACTCCTCACACAACTCTACAAATTCATCAACCTTTACCGTGAGGACAGTGAGATATGTAGAGTGTCAAAAGAATCACGCCGCCAGCGTCGGCGGATATGTCATTGACGGTTGCCGGGAGTTCATGCCGGGAGAAACTTCCGGCGCCGCCCTAACTTGTGCAGCCTGTGGCTGTCACCGCAACTTTCATAGAAAGGAAGTGGAAACTGATGTTGCTTCTGATTGTACTTCTGCTTCTTCCATTACTACATGAAGTAAGTTTTAGTACTACTAAATTTTAATTGAGGGTCTGGTCTGTATTTGAGTATGTGTTTGTACATATTTAATTTTTCTGCGTGTTCAAGAGTGAAGGTTATTAAGAAACTATGGGAAAGTTTCTAATTCCTTCTCTTTTGATTTGTATTTGGCTTTGTTTATATGTGTGAAGGTGTGAGATCGTTTGTAATGAGTGAACCCTTTTTAGAATAAATCATATATTAGGGGAGATAAGTTGTGTTTCTGTTTTTGATTAGACATGATGGTGTGTTCATCAAATTTTCTGCATGATATTGTAGGCTGTATTATGTTGTTGCTAACTTTTAATTTGTTGTCTCAAATCTTTTGCTTAAATTTAATTACCAGCATTTTGCGCCAAACAAAAGTTATTTTAATCTCGTAACAGAGCCAGTTAAAGAAGCTGTGTTGCTTGAAGGATCTCTGATTGGTCAAGATAAGGTTAGGCCGGTTGAAGAGTGGGGACGGAAGGCCAATGTTAAAAAGGTTTGTTACAAACAAATGATCTAAATTGAAGTTAGTGAAAAATTAAGTAGCTTTCTTTTATCTGTTAAGTGAACTTTACATATGTTGTGTAGTTAATTTTAGGTGATGACAAAATTTTGTTTCCTTAATCATAAAGAGCATTTAATCTAACAGTTGTCAAGGGTTTTGGCTTTGAATTCTAGAGAGAACATATTCGTTTGATTACCTAATTATATTATGTCTCAACAATCAACGTTATTATGTAACATTGAGTTACTTTTCGTTAGTCTGTATAACAAATTGGTAAATGAAGTACACTATATGGATATGGAAACATGGGTTGTAAGTAGTGTCAAATTTGGCCTAACTCTCCTCGTATATTTGGTTTTCTCTTGGATATTTATCCTCGCTCAATGCAGTAAATCCATTCCTCCAGGGAGAAATTTGTTGAAAGCATCGTTCACTAATCTTCTGTTATCCCTTTGAACATTATAAAGACATTGTTATAACCCTATTGATTCTTCTACAAAAGTTCTTTCAATTAGAAAACAGAAGGAAGGTGGCTGGTAAAACCGTAAAGATCAGAGAGGTGGAGGCATGCATTTAAGTGGAAAATAAAAAAGAATGAAGAGATTTCCAAAAGAGTCATGTTCAGTATATGGCATGTGGCTGGTAAGCACAAATGTCTGAATCTCTCAGTTGGAGTTAGGTATTATGGGAAGGGAACAAAGCTTTAGGTAAGTGTTAATTTTTAATCAGGTAAGTGTCAAATCTATGAATGTATTGAAGCCTCACAGCCGCTTGTTTTTCGAGTTCCACCACTTTCTTTTTGTACCCGATTGAAAACATGGCTTCCAACTTTAATTTCAAGCCATTATAGGATTCCGTTTAACACATGTATAACAGTTATCTGCTTATAAATTACAGAAAAAGAGTGCCCTTTTCTACTTTTACATGATCCTTACTCCTTACCCTACTCTAACGTCTATATTGAAAAGAAAAAAAAAGACTTTAGGTCTAACTCAACCCCAAAAATTAGTTCAAGAGGTGAAAATTATTTAAAACCATACTAGGAGACCAAGAAACATATGGAGCGTGAACAATATAAGATGAGGCCCAACATCGGGTAAGCAATCAATTGGGATGAGTCTGACTCTGCTATCATGGGGAAAAAAATGGACCTTGAGCTTAAGTAAACCCCAAAAGGTAGTTCAAGATGTGAGGATTACCCAAAATCTGAAGAACAAAAAATATATATCCCACTAATGTGGGACTCTAACACATATTGGTTTTCTTGCTATATGCTGATCAGTTAAACTCTTCATGTTAAACTGTGGTGAGTTGAATTATTTGATGACATTCTTGATCATTCTATGCTTTCCTAATCATTGCGATTTAACGACTATAATGTAGATACTAACATCTCAATGAATGAAATTCTACAACTAAGGTTGCATGCAGCATGTACTAATGTCAAATCTACTTAATCATGATATAGTTTCAATATGTTTATTGTTTACCAAATATATATGTGTGTGAAAAAACAGTCAAATACTAGGGAAGTCCTCCAGATGAATCAATCTCTCATGCACCTGAGCAACTTATGAATGTCAAGTATATGTGGACGATCAGATAATTGCTAGTCAATTTAAGTATATGTACAAAGATAGACGATATTATCCACTCAGCGCGAATATAATTAGGAAGACCGGGAGCAGTTTTCTGTCAACGTATAAAAAAAGTAAAAGGAAATAAGCAAAAAAGATGCTGTAGTGTCATATTGTCCACTTTCTAGTGAATCCATCTAAAATTCAAAATTGTTGGTATTATCTCGATATTTATGTACCTTATAAATCCAATTACTCAATCAAATTTTGACCGGAAAAAAATTAAAAGAAAAAGAGGAAAATTTCTTTCTGACCATCGAGTCTTTAAATGGTGTAAGGACCCACAATAAACAAGAAATAATTAGTGGGCCAAACACCTTACAATTCTACTAAGCGAATTGGGCTAAAGAAGCACTCAAACGCTCCCTTATTTTAGGCTGGCTCATGAGCTGTTTTTTCTTTTTTCTTCACCGAACGACCTAACTTAGAGCCCAGAGGATGAAGGTTCTCTTATATCACGATCGTCTGAGGAAACAATTTCAGCAGATTATAAAGGGAAAATGGCCAAATATATTTCTCAACTTCGGTATATTGTTCACATCTATCCCCCTTTATACTATCGGGACATATCTACCTTTACCGTTAACAAAACTTTTTTTAAAATACCCTCCATCTAACGGAATCCGCCAGATTAATAAAATAATCATTTTAAAAAAAATTCATTAACCCATAACCCGTTAAACCCATCATATAAAAATACGAAACCTAAATTTCTCAGACGTCTTAACACATTTTATTCATTTAGAGAGATACCGAGAATAATAGTGGAAGTAGGATTAGTAAGAATTTATATTTTTGGTTCTTAGTTGTTCATGGTGGCGTTAGAATGTCATATTATCACTTTTGGTTGTATTTTTTGTGGTTATAATATGGAATCCCTTTGTCTAATGCCATATTATACAGACCGAGAATATGAATATATGATTGTCGGTATTTTTATGTCTCACGTCTTAAGTTCAACAAATGACTACGAAGGAGATGACTAATCTGTAAGGAAGAAATGCAATAAATAAAAAATATTTAACGGGTTATTAATGGGTTTTAAAAAAATAGGTATTTTTTTAATTTGGTGGCTTTTCATTAGGTGGAGGGTATTTTTAAAAAGTTTGGCTAACGATAAGGGTAGATGTGACCCGATAGTATAACGGAGGGTAGATATGAACAATATACTAAGGACCCGTTTGGCCATGGATTTTTCCAAAATAAATTTAAATTTTGTTTGGTAAACACATGTTTGGCCATAGATTTTGCCTACATTTTGGCAAAATCTCAAATCCCAAAAGAGCTGGTTTTGGGCCAAAATATCATTGCTACATTTTTTAAAAATTACCCCAAACTTTTGTATTTTATAAAAGAGCCCAACATTTATTATTTTGTAACAATGTTGCTTCGTCTTCTCGGCCACCTGATAGTGTATGATGTAGTTCATTATAAAAGTGATAATTTTGTATCAAATTTATTTATGTTCAGGACTATAGTTTGCGATAATATAATGAATATTATTGATAATGGTACTGTTGGATATTTGTGATAGTTTTTAGAACTTGTGGGTATAAGTCATGTTTCATGTTTTTCCAAAATAAATTTGGAAAATATGTTTTGAAAACTGATGTCCAAACATATTTTCATCTTCAAACCAAACTTCACCCAAATCAGATTTTTCAGAACAAATTTGGAAATGTATGGCCAAACGCTAGCTAAAATAGAGGGGTATATTTGGCCATTTTTCCATATCTAAAACATAGGCCTATTTTTGGTGTCAAATCAGTATATGCATTTTCCTTAATACTCACTCTTTTCCAAAAACAAAACATCCCTTTTCTTTTTCTTTTTCGTAAATTATTTTTCTTTCTTATAACTTTTTTGCAATTATCTTTTGAATTTTTCTTTGTCTATTTAGAATTATTTTTTTAAGCTGACTTTACATCGACAGAAAAAAGGTATTTTTCACTGATTTAGATTGCATCAATTTTATATTGCTAACAGCGATTTGGCAGCTAAAAAACGATTTTAAATTATAATCTATACTTTATCAATCATTCCTTTGTCGAACTCACTCATTATCATTTTCAGGAAACGAAATATATAATGCAGGTGCGAAGCCACAAATTAGTTACAAGCTTTTGCTTCGAATCTATATTTGTTTTATAAAATTTATTAAATATATATAAATATTTAATTATAAATTCAATAACTAAAACGAACTATGAGTTCAACATAAATTTATAACTCATAAACTTTAAATTATGACTATTTCTATGAAATATTATAATACTCAAATAACTAATAAGCATTGCAGCAGAAACCATGTGTTTGAGGCTGACAAATTGAAAATGTTAATGAAGCTATATTTATAAATTGCATATTTCCCCATTTTACAAACCTTTTGTAATTATCTAAGGGGTATGCTGTGGTCCTCACAAAGTGATGGGCCTTCTTTTTTCAATATTGTTACGTCTTTCCTCTTTCATTTTACCCATAAAAGGCATTGAAGAAACAGCCAGATCTGCAATTTTGTTGTGCTTGAAACCAAGCAAATCCACATTCAACACCTAACCCTAATCATGACGTCTCTCTTTGTTTAGCCCTATTATAATTGACAACTTCTCTATGACATTTGTCCTACTCCTCTTTTTATTTTTCTCACAGGGAATTTTGCTCTTTCTACCTTGAAATACTGAAATAGTCCAATTTCGGTACTTATGATATCCGATTAAACATATTTTACCTCCAATTAATTAAAATATGCAGTTTTTATCCTCATACTTGTGAATCTTTACAAAATTAACAAATTATTAATTGTTAATTTATTCAATTATCTATTTTTTTGTTAAATTGGTAATGTTATATATTTGAGGGTAATGTAGTTCTAAAATAAATGTGCTTGTTTCAATATCATAGAATTAAAATCAAAGTTTATCAATAAGCGAGGGATCAAAAGTGCAATTATTCCGTTCTGAACACACTTTGATGTCTTTATGAGACATAAAAGAAGGAATTCTGTTGTATTTACTTTCTCAGGATTGGTCTTTCCGTAACAAAAAAATAAAAGAAAAAACAATGTAAAAACATTTTTTTGTTGTTGTTCCTAGCAATTATTAATAGAAGTCATCGTTGTAAGTAGAAGTTGAAACAAATGAATGAAGATGGGATTAATTTGAGAGGACAATTGAATAGAAAAGTCATGTTCATCACGTGATTGTGCTTCCTTATTAAATAAAGTCTGAAGCAATTTTTTGCACAAGGACCGAAAAGATTTCTATAAATGGTGGTTGATGACAAATCATTTCCTTTGTTTGAGAAAAAATATTATTCCTCACACATGTCTTTTCTCTACTGTATCACAAATTTATATTCAAACAAAATCACTTTTTCAGCTTTTACTTATTACATCTCCTTTATTAATAATATAATACTTAAGTCCAATTATTTAAATCTAATACTGTTTAGTTACTATCGCTATATTCCAATTTATATGATACTCTAACATCTCAAATCTTTAACATGATTCAAGTTTTATGCAACTTATATAACTTTTAAGAATTCAACAACCTTATATTTTTCAAATGAAATTAATATCTTAATTAAACTTTCTATCAAAATTAAACATCTTCATTAAAATGGGATCGAGAAACAACTTAGGCCCACAAGATTAACACAACTTAGGCTTATAAGATTAACGATTATCAGGATTTTGGAACGGGGTTTTGGCATTGTATGACAACCTAACTTAATAAATGGCATAAAAAAGCCCAACTTATTGTTATTGGCATCTTATGACTCACATTTATGTTTTAATTTAAAAAATTAAATTTGTATAATAAACCAGGTTAGACATTCTCCCTGAATGTCACTCTTTCTCTCTCTCTCTCTCTCTTCGCTTCTCTTCTCCATATCTCCTCATCCTCTCTCCTCACACCAGAAAATTTTAGAGCAATTGACATAAATAGATGTCCAAAAGAATGAATCAAACCATGAAACTGAATTCTCGTGGCCCGTTTTCGAAGTTGCCACAAGTTTTTTCATTCTCACTTACCATTAATAGACAAAATCAAGCAAACTTTCTACAAATTTGCACAAAACATTTGTCCAAAAGAGAAACATTCTGTTTGAATTGAAAGAGGAATGAATTTGGGTGACTATACACATTCTAAGTTTTTTGAACTTTCGAATTTGGGTGAATACACATCTCAGTGTATATCAACTGATATATCTATATATCACCCTGTATATCTGTTTATTTCATATATATCATGCATATTTATATACATGTCTACGTATATCAATGAAAATATGTTGTGATATACACTAATATGCAATGTGGTATACATGTTTATGTATATCAATAAAAATATTGTGTGATATACGCACTGATATATAACAGCCAAAATATGTATTGGTGATTATTTGCGAAATGTATATCATAATTTTATTGTCGCTCTTTGTGTATATCAAAATGAATATTAAAATTTTATTTTCCTTCTTTGTATATCCAAACTATGAATTTATAAATATAGTTATTCAAAATTTATTGTTATCTCTATACGAATGTATTATCATAATACAAATAATTATATTATTTATATATCATAGTGTATAACATATAAAATAATGTGTATACCAATATATATATCATAAATTTATTTTCCTTCTTTTTATATATCAAAAATTTATTTCCCATCTTTGTATATCAAAATGTATATAAAAAATTTATTTACTCTTATAATTATATTTATTATTTTTATGTCTTAGAACTTGCTCTAAACTTATATACATTGCTAAGTGAAAAATAA